CAAGAGATAAAAGGAACAACAGGTAAGTTTGGCCTTGGAGTTCAAACCAAAGCAGGGCAAAGGCTAATAGAGTGTTGTCAAGAGAACAAACTGCCCATCACAAACACTCTTTTCCAACAACACAAAAACACTCTTTTCCTCTACACATGGACATCACCAGATGGGCAATACTGAAATCAGATTGATTATGTTCTCTGCAGACAAAGATGGAGAAGCTCTATACAGTCAGCGAGAAGAAGACCTGGAGCTGATTGTGACTCTGATCATCATCTTCTTATAGCAAAACTCAAGCTTAAACTGAAGAAAGTAGGAAAAACCACTGGGCTAGTCAGGTACAATCTAAACCAAATCCCTTATGAATACACAGTGGAAGTGAAGAACAGATTTAAGGAATTCGATTTGGTGGACAGGTTATCACTCTAATCAGTTCTTGTGTGGTACAGCCATGCAATGCAGGGGAAGGATTTCATGATAATCTGAAAGAATTGTTTGTTTTGTTTATTTGTTTTTTACGTGGCTATCTACATGAGTGAATCAGAGTTTTTAAAAAAATAATGCGATCATCTGTGAAGGCTTCCTTCACCTTACTTAGGTGGTAAGTACAAGCTTCTGCCTGACAAAGAGGCAAATACTGCAGTTCACAAGCCACTTATTCCAGAAAAGGCTTGTAAGCTACAATCTACCCACAAGTAATTTAAATTAAACCTGAGCAAGAAGTCTATGCATTTCTGCCTCCATCTCTTTAGGATAATCTCTGTAACTATTTTAGCTTATCATAGCATTCTGGAGCAAAGGCAATCTTTGCTTGAGGATCTGGCACACATGTGTTTGAACTATTTTTCTATAAACAGAGCAATATGGAAGCTATTTAGTGCAAATGAACAGATAAATACATGTTTTATCAACTGTAATCCTTATATTCTTTCTTAGTCAAATGATCTCTTTTTGGCCAAGTATTGCTGGAAATAAACATCCTTCCTTGCTTGTTCGCATAGGGACCAAATAATCACATTACAAGCACATTAGGGTCTCATTAAGCTTTGGCATTGCCCATTCAGTTGGCTTCCAATATCTTATGGCATTAAAAAAAAATCACCTGGGGATGGAATCTGTTTTGGTCTTGGTAACCCTCCCCTCTCCCCCCTCCCCTTACTGCAAGCTATTCTGATACCTGGGGCTTGTTAGTTTAATGCAGTGGATCATGTTAAGCCTTAGTAACATGAGCTGATGCATGCTGACAAGAATTGTGTACTTTGGTTTTGTTCAGTGGTCATGCAATAGCATTTTTTTGGTATTGATCTGGCACCTTATATAGGAAGATGTATTTCTTTACACATGCACACCCATAGAGATGGGCAATTTAGTCACGCCTTATAGACACTGGGCGTGACTAAATTCACCAGCCGAATTGGTCTGATTCAGTTTTGCATTGGCTTGAGTCACAGTCTGTTTCGTGGTTACATTTGGTTTAGGTGGCCACAGGAAGAGCCTGGGCTATTTTGGTGCCAGTGTCCACACTGGCTCTTCAATTCAAAGTGATTTGATACCTGCTCACAAGCCCCCTCCCCCTTTATACCACCATCTTTACCTGCTTAATCCCTGGCTCTCTTATGGTTTGCTGTCAAGCCTCTGGGGCTAATTAAAGAGCACTGCAGTGGTAGGGGAAAAGGTGGAGTTTTCAAAAGGATGTTGCTGGGTGCATATGCATGCATATGTATGATGCGATTTTTTTCTCTTTCCACAATTTGTGAGAGTTGTTCTTCTTTTTGGCTTTTTTTGGCCTATGATTTTGCTACAATAGTCCTAGTGCTAAATTAATACAGTATATGGAAGCAACAATTTAGTGATGGTATGTATAGACATGTTTCTGCACATTATGCTTTGCTGATATTTTTCCATTTGCTCTCTGTGCTCCCTTTTCTACCTTGTTTGTGAACTTTTGGCCCTGCAGTACATTGGCAGAGAGAGCACAAAGTGGTGTTTTGTGCCCTGACATTTTATTCTGTCTCTGCCATGTTAGGGAGCGGTGTATCCTCACATACATACAATGTCACAACTAGAGCAGAGCATAAGAGAGAGAGAGAGGGAAGGAGGAAGGGAATTATACATACAATGTCACAACTAGGGCAGAGCATAAGAGAGCGAGAGAGGGAAGGAGGGAGGGAGAGCGAGGGAGGAGAGAGGGAGAGGGAGAAGGAGAGAGGGGGGGAGAGAGGGAGGGAGAGAGGGAAGGAGAGGGAGAGGGAGAGAGAGATGGAGGGAGGGAGGGAGAGGGAGGGAGAGGGAGAGAGAGATAAATGTGGATTTGATTACATGTAAGCTTGCTTGTATTCATTCACTTTAATCAACGTCTCAATATATTCAATATACTCAATATATTCCCTAACTGATTCTCTGTCCCTCCCAGTTCTGTTGACTCCGCCCCTCCTGTCCTGTCATAGGCTCCTACACTAGAGTTCTAAAATGACTGACAGGAGTGATGTGTGGGCTGTCCGCCACAGTGATATATTTGGAAAAGATATCGAACTTAATTCTAAAATTGCTTTGCTGTCAATTTTTGATAAGATAGAACTTGTTTATTGCTCAAAGGATTTGATTTCTAATTTTATGACAAGTGCTAGAGCTAGAATATGAATAGCTAGTTTCTGGAAAGATAAAAATGATATTAAATTAGGAGATTGGTATAATGAAGTATGGGACATTGCGTTAAATGACAAATTGACTACTGAATTTAAAATGAAAAGGGGAAATAAGTTTAAGTATTTTTTACGCTATTTGGGGTAAGGTAAAGAGGTTCCCCTTGACAATTTTTGTCCAGTCGTGTTCGACTCTAGGGGGCGGTGCTCATCCCCATTTCCTAGCCATAGAGCCAGCGTTTTGTCCAAAGGCAATCTTCCGTGGTCACATGGCCAGTGTGACTTAGACACGGAATGCTGTTACCTTCCCACCGAAGTGGTCCCTATTAATCTACTCACATTTGCATGCTTTCGAACCGCTGGGTTGGCGGGAGCTAGGACAAGTGACGGATGCTCACTCCGTCGCATGGATTCGATCTTACAACTGCTTGGTCTTCTGACCCTGCAGCACAGGCTTCTGTGGTTTAGCCCACAGCACCACCACGTCCCTCATTTGGGGTACATTTATTGAATTTGTAATTAGTGAAAGGAAAGGGGAAAGCCTCTGAGCAACAATCAATACAATTTTGAAAAGGAGGTTCGTAATAAAAGTATTGCTCCAAAGGGTCCAGTGGGTAGGGGGGTGCACTGTGTTTCAGATTGTATTAGTAAGTATTTTGTATTCTTGTGTTTGTTTTGGAAATTTAAAAAATAAAAATTTGAAAAAATGTTCAGGTAATGAGTGTCCATACACTTGATCTTTGTGTGGATCATTTTTTCAATGGGCAAACATTTCTTCTGTGATTACTCTCAAACCATAGAATAATTCTACGGTCAAAACTACATGTAACCCCTTTACTGGGAGAAATATCATCAAGGTGATGCTCATACCGTTTCTTGTTGAAATTTAGATTTGATGACAAATTATATTTATCTTTGGTTTTCTTATTTTAATCATGAGCTCACATAAAAAGCAGCCTTTTCCTGTTCATTATTGTGTGTGTGTGTGCTTTTTAAATCTTATCAAAGACTTGACCAATGGCTCAGGCAAGAATAGAGCATGAGATACAATCTTGAGATCTTATGCATATTTTAAGAGGGTGGACAAAGGCAAAGTTTGCTGTTGTTCAGGCAAAAGGCCTGTGTAGAAACCTCTAAGTTTCACTTTCATGTCTACCACCACCCCAGCATCTTCACAATAAGCTGCTGATGTTGTGTAACAGAGTAAAGTGTATGGGTGTTTCACAATAAGAAGTGGGCCCTGCAATGGCAGCAGTTGAAGTTGAGATGGGGGAGGAAAGGAGGATGGTGGTGGTCTCTGGACGTGTCTGGAAGGGTAACTGAGTGACTCGTATCATTTGAGTGTGCCAAGTTGTAGTATGTTTAGAGTAGGGGTAGACAATGTGCTGCCTGAGGTCCTCATTAGGCTTGCAGGAGCTTTATGTGGCCTTTCCCCATGTCCCTCATTCCAATGTCTTGAAAATAAATTTCCCTCCTCTGAGCCTGTTCAAAGTAACATACAAACTGCAATCTATGATTTATTTTTCAGTGTGTGCTTAGAAGTAGTGCAAGTACAATTGTGTGTTTGTCAATAGTGTGTTGTATGACATCTGTGTATTCTCCACCAGGCTGTAAGTTGTCCGTTGTGAGTTGGAGCAAGTTTGTTTGTTTTTTTTAAAAAATCCCAAAGCATACAGAGCCCTCTGTGTATTGTGATAATTTTTTTTAAAAAAAAAAAATCCCAAAGCATACCTGTTTTTAACAATACAGAGCCCTCTGTGTATTGTGATAATTATTTACTTATTTTTATAATGTTTTAAAAAATGCAATAAAGATTAAAACTTAAAAAAACAATACAGAGCCCTCTGTGATGTCAGATGTCACTAGCAAGTGCTTTCTTCATTAAATACAAGAAGATGAGAGTCTGTCACGAGTAGGAGGAATATCTCAGTAAATCAACATATGGGGACATTATATGATAAAAGGTATTAAAAAGACAGTTTTGTGTTAGATACTCTATTGGTTATGAGTGCTTGCGTCTTTACCAGCTGATGTCAGTGACTGGTTAAGTAAAATTAAACTATATTAATTTCATTTAATTTGCTCAGTAGAGAACCCTTTCTATTACCTGTTAAGCCATAGATTAAAAATAAATGTCTGGGTGGTACATAGGAAGAACCAAAGGTGTTATTGTAGAACTTCCACAAACATTGCTTTGCTGCAAAGCATCCTTCCTTGAGCTGGTGTGCTCCGTGTTTGATGGACCACATTTCCTACCATCCCCAGCCAGCATGCGCATGAATAATATCATTACTGTTCAAAAAATAAGAAACAGAACAGAACATTGCCATTTGATGGACTGATTTCTTCTCTCTTCTTTTGCAGCAAGTAACGGGAAGAAGCTTTGGTGACAAAGATTTTCGGGCAGGTTTAGAAAATGGTGTTCTCCTGTGTGAGTAAGTATTGTTGAACACTGAATTACTGAAGTTCTGTTTGCGACATCTGCTTAACAGGTCCACAGTCAGTGCTGGAAAAACTACTTTTTTTTTAAAACAATAACAGCCACCAACCTGCCTCTTGCCCTCTGGGGCATTCTGAAAATTGCAGCCCAAAAAGCAACTATTTCTAAAGGTCTGCATGTAACTTTGGAGATAGAAGAGTAGAGGATTCGTTTTTTTTTTTAAATAGAATCTGGCTTGATGACTTGGCTTTGGGAGTGTTTCATCAGCTGTCTACATTACCCCTCAGGAGGTACTAAAAAAAACAGATTGTGGCAGAGCTTGCTAAGAAAAAAAGTTCCTCTCCCAGACATGGTTGCTTAGACCTGCTGCTATCTATTAACTATTAACTATCTCCAGCCAAAGGAAATCTCTTTGATGGAGCATCTCCAACTTAAACAACTTTAGCCAAAGCAAACAATGGAGGCTCATCATCAGATATTGAATGCTTAGGAATTGGATGTTCATGGCATGTTGTTTGAGCATCCCCCAAGCATGCACATCTGGTGGGAACTCTGCCATTCCTGATGTAATATATCTCTCTGTATAGTTTACAACGGAGGCTCCTAAATATCACCTAACAGTATTTAATATACTGTACAGATTTTCTAGAAGCATTCATCAAAGATCAGTATTTGAGCTTTGGTGTGGCCCAGATTTCTATGAGGTTTCTTTGCTTTCTGTTGTAATATACTGTAGAACCAAATCAAGAAACAGCACTCCCCCCCCCCATTTTGTCGCCTCATCTAAACTGAGGCCAGTAAACCTGCCCTGAACATTTCTAAGAACTTCATCTACTCCACTTAAAACAGGCAAATTCTTACTCCTTTCCCACTTTTACTGGGAAGGATGGTTGATGTGCCTCTGTGGCAATCCTATGTATGAGTGATCTCCAAAATGTCCTTTCCTCAGCTCTTTTAAGCCTGTGGCTTCCTTTAGAGAGCCAAGCCATTTTGTATTTGCTGCTCTCAACCTTTCCCATATTATTGTATTTTCCAGAGAATCCTTCTTTCTCATGATGTGTCCAAAGTATGACAGCCTCAGTTTTATAATTGTTTTCCTCCAAAGATAGTTCTGGGTTGACTTGTTCCAGGACCCACTTGTACATCTTTCCGGCAGTCCAGGGTATCTTCAAAACTCTTCTCCAGTACTATATTTCAAATGAATCCTTTTTTACCAATCAACTTTCTTTACTCTCCTGCTTTCATGTCCATACATAATAATCAGGAATGTAATAATGGATTATCTTGGTCTTGGTCTCCCTGACACCTTCTTAAACTGGACAGTCTTTTCTAATTCCTTCATTGCCGCCCTTCTGAGTCGCAGTCTTCTGATTTCTTGGCTTTAGACTCCATGTGGATTGATGATTAAGTCAAGGTATAGAAAATATTTAATAATTTCAGTTTCTTCAACATCAATTGCATAGTCCTTCTGTAATTATTATTTTAGTCGTCTTTAAAAAGCAGCAATGACTTGAAATGACTTTTAGTCAAAGTGAAAGAAGAAAGTGCCAAACCAGGAATTCAACTGAATGTTGAGAAGACCAAAATCATGAATACAGAAGAACGGTCTATAGCACTGACTATACTGTGTGTGACAGATTTATAAAATGTATGCACCACACCAGTAAAGAATGATGCATATGTGTTATTAAGTCAAAATTTTCCCCAGCAAAATCTGAGGTAAATTGGTCCTCTTCATCTTCCACTCAAATTAGAGCTGCAGTTGTCTTAACTCTGAAAGGCCTGCTGCATTGAGGCAAGACTCTTGTAGCTAAAGAAAGTGACAGAATGTCAAAGAATGGAAGGAGAGATACACACTCATACCTAATTGCACAGTCACACCTCCAGTGTGTGGTGGCAGTGAAGAAGGCCAATTCCATGCTAGGTATCATTAAAAAGGATACTGAAAATAAAACAGCCAACATTATAATGCCATTGTACAAAATCCTGGCAAGGAGAATACCTGTAGTATTGCGTACAGTTCTGGCCGCCACACCTAAGAAAAGACATAGTGGAAATGGAAAAAGTGCATAAGAGAGCAACTAAAATGATGACTGGGCTGGGGCACTTCCCTTATGAGGAAAGGCTACAGCCTTTGGGGCTCTTTAGTCTAGCGAAAAGGTGCCCAAGGGGGGTGGAACATGATTGAGACATTTAAAATTATGCAGGGGATGGATAAAGTGGATAGAGGGAAGCTCTTTTCTCTCTCACGCAATACCAGACCCAGGGGACATCCAATCCAATTGAGTGTTGGGAGAGTGAGAACAGACAAAAGAAAAGATTTCTTTACCCAGCGTGCTGTTAGTCTGTGGAACTCCTTACCACAGGATGTGGTGGTGGCATCTAAAAGGTGATTGGACAGATTTCTGGAGGAAAAGTCCATAACAGGTTCCAAGACATGATGGGGATGTATAATCTCCAGGCTTAAAAGGAAAGTACCTCCAAATGCCAGATGCAGGGGAGTGGTATCAGGAAAGAGGTATCTAGTTGTCCCATGTGCTCCCAAAGGCATCTGGTGGGCCCACTGTGAGATACAGGAAGCTGGACTAGATGGGCCCTTGACCTGATCCAGTAGGGTTCTTCTTATGTTAATTGGTCATAGTAGGTAGAGGAACTTGGGTCAAAGTCCAGTAGTGCTTTTTTCCTCCCCTTTCTGATGCAGCCATGCAAGGTGCCAAAATATCTATTCTAGGGGTTTTCCCATTCCTCTGCTTCAGCTTTTTAGAGTGTGCACAGGGCTGCAGGAAAGAGAGGAGACTCTTGATACTGGTGGAAGCAGTGGGATCCACCAGAAGTACACCTCTGGATTCTTGCCAAAGCCCTACCTCCATCCCATCTAAAACACTTATCTTAGGAGCCTGACAGGATTTGGGGGCAACACATTTTAAAAGGCACAGAAGAGAGCAAAAGTCCAACAGAAAATATATAAACTTTCTTGGCAGAAGCTGAAGGAAACAGCATGAAGCTATCACCATCCAGTCAACCTGTAAAGGGCCATTTTTACATTCCCTTCCTCATTGAAGCTTTGCACAAACTTAATAAAAACTATAATAACTAGAGTGATGATTTCCCTCATAGGAATTGACTCACAGACAACAGAATTATGAAATTATGTGCAGCTATGTTAGTTTTTGGGTTGCTTCACATCTGCCTTATTTTTGATTGCACCGTGTATTGGCTTCCTGTCACTAGAAAATAATAGAGTGTTTATCCCCCTCTTTTTGCTCCTTGCTGATGAGCGGCTCTATGTACAGCATGCTGAGTGATTGGGGATGATATCATCTTTTGCAGCTGGTGTATATGTAGGAGGTAGGGAGGGCCTTTCAGGCAGATTAAAGTGGAAAACTGACATTATTATATGGAATTGCAAGCTAATTTTATCTTGGGAGTTCTCCAACTAATTCAGTGCTTCCCAACCTTGGGTCCCAAGTGCTCTTAGACTACAACTCTCATAAATCCTGTCCAGCACAGCTTGTGGTGAAGGCTTCTGTGAGTTTTAGTCCAAGAACATCTGGGGGCCCAGGGTTGGGAACCACTGAACTCATTGTGTCCTATTTTGATATACCTCCATAATACTTCCCATCACATTTTTTTACATCTGATACTTCAGAGAAGGATGAAAAAATGATTCTCAGTTTTAGGTACTGCATTCTGATATATAATAACTAAGTAAATATATATAAGTATGTATTCCAATACCTGAAAATATAATATCTGTTTCCCACATCATGTCTGTAGAGGGCACATGGCAACATTTTGCATGTTTCTTTCTAAAATACTTTAAAACAGAGATTCTCAAAAAATGTGTCTATTTTGCTAGGACTTTGCTGGGTAAAAGAGGGTGTGTGTCTGGAAGTGTTAAAACAGCTTTTTAAAGGCTGTTCTTCATTTTGCTTTTGAAAAACACTTCTGTCTTTCATAATATTATTAGTTTAAATTACTGCCACAGCTGTGCTTAGGCACTAACCTCTTTTGTTTTTTAAGGAGTGATTTCATGGCTTTTGGCTCAATAATTTGGGTTGACTTTTACTGCGTACAACAGTTTTACCAGAAAGTATTCTTCTGTTCCAGTCAGAACAACAGCAGTTTCCATTATGTTTCTGTTAGATTCATCAGTGTTTTTGTAGAAGAAAACACAGTCACCTAGTCCCTTCCCTGGTTTTCTCACTTTTATGCAATTTTACCAAGATGGTTGTGCACAAAAGGGTAAGGCGTGGAACCCTTTTATCTGGTGTTAGGATTCATCTGGTGCAGGGATGGCATGCCTAAAATATTAGGAACAAATAATGAACCTTAGCATTAAACCTTAGTTTCTGATCCTTTTAAAAAAACTGTTCCCACTGTTAGTGCCAATATGGATGACGCTACTGGAAAACAATTTCTCTCTGTCAAGCTTGCCCTCACTGCATTCATTGCTAAACATGGGTCCCCAGTTCCCCTTGAAGTACAGCTCGCAGAAGCCTTGACCATTAGCCATGGTCGCTAGGGCTTCTGGAAGTCTTGTTCAAGAGCTGGTATGTAATACCTTCTGTGATGGACAGGCCAGAAACTACATCACAATGGAATACTGGTTCAGTAGCCAATGGTTGTGCAGGAGGGCGGAACCAGGAAATATAAGAGAATGGAGGACAGTTAGAGTTTCAGTTAGAGTTAGGATTTCAGTCAGCCAGGAGTTAGGAACGTCGGTTAGTGATGAGATAGGACAGTTAGTCAGGAGTGAGGGAAAGAGTTAGGTAGTTGGAAGAATTTGTTTTGGAAAGAAACACTTGAAAAGAAACGTATAAGACAACTGAATGCAACTGTTATAAAGTGATTGAAACTAAATACAAAGGAACCAGCATATTTCTAAGTTAAATGAAGTTTAATGGATACCAAATACAATTCCATCTATGATTTCCTTGATTCTTAAATATGTTAATCTATTAAGAAATAATGTTATATTTGACACGATTGATT